GGCCCTTGTTTACAGGCATGTCTCCAAGTCCCTTCTCCTCATCCCTCTTGGCAGGATGGATAAAATGCCTTTATGTCATGTCAGAGCCGTGCAGATAAGGACTCGCTGCAGAGAGCAGTACCAGGCGCAGAAAATGTTCCCTGTACTCCCCCATCCTCAATTTCTCCAGTCTGGCTCAGACTCTATCCTGCATGGTCTTAAGGTGGACAAGTGGGGAGAAGGGAGGGATCCCAGAAGAACTGACCACCCCTCAGCTTGGAGGACAGGCCTATCATGAAGCCAAGGTACAAACACTCTTGAGCATGGCGCTGCTCGTGTCCCAGCCAGGACGGTCCTACGCACAGTAGTTCTCTTTTGAAAACTGAAGTGGTGACACCTTATGAAGAAACAGGAGGCCTGAGTACAGCTGGTGGTGTGGAGAGCCCAGCCCTCCACTGCTGAGAGCTCCTGGGCTCCCAAGGCATTGCCCACAAGAAATACAGTAACCGTCCTTTTGCCATTTCAAGCTCCAAACCGTGAGGTGGTAGGTGTGATTCTCAGCTTAGGAGGATGAAAAGGATGGCCCTTTGTCAAATTGCAGCGAACTTGTAAGAATACCATGGAATTCCTAAGAAACCTGTGAGCTCCTTGAATCTGCTGGAGGTGGGCATTGCTCTGCCCCCAAGACAGGCATCAGTGCCTTGCCTGGGCACAGTGAGAACCTCAGCCCTCATGTCCCAACTAGAAGAAGCTGAACCTTGTTGCCAAGACTGTCCTTGAGTAGATCTGTCTACACACAGAGCCATCTGATCTGTGGCTCAAGGATGCAGCCTTTCCTGAGGCCCGAGATGACCCCAGTCATAGGAGTCCTGGACCTCCTAGTCTCACAGGAGCCTAGGCTGTCATTACTGAGGAGAGGTCCTCAGGTAGGAGCCTACGGGGACCCAGGGAAACCCCTTACCACCCTTGTGCAGAGACAAGGCATTACCATACTGACCCCCTCACACCTCTACTAAACACATTCAGCTGGACTTGGGCATCTTAGGGCATAGGCTCATCTGCAGAGCAGCGTGTGCCAACAGAGGGAACACCAAGGGGACATTAGCAGCAGGGCCTTTAGTAGCAGGCTCCCCAGCAGCAGTGAGCATTTCAGACTCTCCAGCAGTGGGGTCTTCGGAAGTGGTATCTCTGGCAATGGGGCCTCCTGGGTCCATCCCGGCAGGGTTGAGGTTGGAGGCACTCAGCTGGAGAAATGAGAAACTAGGAGAAGAGGGCAATAATGTCCTTGGTTCCATAAAGGCTGGGGAATCTGTCTTGCAGCCCTGGGAGGTGGCAGAAGGGCTCTGGAACTTCCTAGCATAAAGGAGCAGGGACCTAACTAGACCACGAGCACAGGTGATCAGGGCAGTGACGGGAGAGACAGAAGAACTGCCCCTGCCACAAACAGTGTCTCAAGCCCAGGAGGAGGGTTCAGGGGCTGAGAAAAGATGCAGCTGGCTAGCAGCCATTGTGACCCTCTACCTCCAGCATCCGTAGCGATGTTGCTCCTCAGGGAAGAAGCCCCTCCATTAGATGCTAAGCCACTACTATCACAAGCTGTCACCCTGGACTGCTGGCTTTACCTTTGAGGGCCTTGGTTTCCTTTGGGACACTTGAGGGGCCCACTCTAAACCCAGCTCTAAGCCCAGGCTGGCTACAACCACAGCATTCCCAGGGCAGGGAATGCAGGAGCGCTGTAAATGGTTTCACTTAAGACGCTTTTCCGTCTGTTCCACAAGACTGTAAAGAAGATGTTCTCTCTAACTGCAGCTCCAGTCTGCCTTCCACAAAGTCGATTGCGGCCGCCGGCGTTCTGGATCCTGACTAAAGCGTGTAGCAGGGAGCTAGCTGCTTCTCCTAGTCCCCACTTGAGGCAAGTGCTGCTGCCGCCGCCGCCGCCGCAGTGACATCAGACACTGTGCTGCTTGATCAGTAGGGGCGTTCCAAGCCCCTCGTAGCGGTCTGAAACTGCAGCCAGTACTGAGCTCACAAATCTAACTCCTTTTCCGTCTAAGCGCATATGCCCTGTGGCGCCCTGTGGCTGTAACTTTTGTAGTGTGAAGTTGGACGGCAGAACTAGCCTAGACTTCGTTCACAGTTTTACGGAAAGGGAGTTCTTAGCGTTGCTCTTGGCTACCTCGAGACTTTTATTTAGTGTAATCTCCTGCCTTTTCACTTAAAGGAAGCACTTTATGCTTCTCTGGCATTTTGTAAAGGTCAGATTACCATCCTCATACTTTGGGGACACGACTGAATAGAATAAAGGTTATTGAATGCAAATTATGATCAGTATGAAAACTTAGCTGGCTAGTGAGAGCCAACAAGCAGGTAGCAGGTCCTGTGTGGACACACTGCACAAAAGGGTGGGCTGTACCCCAGTGGAGATGTGGATTTCTTCAGCTAACTCAGAATGGCATCTAACTTAAAAGCGGTCAACTGTTAATTTGTGGAATTTTCCATTTCCAGTGTTTTGGCCAAGGAGACCACCAAAACTGCAGGAAGCAGAGCTTGAGATAAAAGGGTGCTGGATTTACACTCATGTTTCTAAATTATCCACTCACATGGTTATTTCTTGGGTTTCTAGTTTACGTGTTATCGACTACTTCACTTGTCATTGTATTGGCTGACTTGAAGTCACTGCCTGAAAGGGCTCTCTAAAGACCTGCTGCCACTCCCCACCCATTGTGACAAAGCACATCCTGGAGCATGGCTCTCAGCTCAGCTGCCGGTGCAACAAGGTTTCTCCATATCTCTGCTCTGGCCAGGATGGCCCTTCCACAGCTTAATGCTGGACATTGTACTGGAGGCCAGCAATTCCTGGAGAAGAAACAGTGCAGGACCTTGCTTCCTGATGGCATTCTCAACGAGGTCATAGATACTGTCTGTGTGTGAGTCATCTCCAACCCAAAAGCCAAGCAGGTCGTGCATCTAAGAGCAGTGCTCTGTAGAAGGGCCCACAGGGAGCCCTCGTGGGCTTAAGACAAGACTTCTAAGTCTCCCGGGAGAAGCTATGTATAAAGGACAGCCTAGAGTCCAGCTCAGTCAAGAGGAAGGTTCTTGACTAACAACAGAATGGCCAGAAAACCAGCTAGAAAGGGAATTGTCTTCTAGAGTAAGTCAGTGCCCTTCACAGGATGATAGTAGAATCCAGAGTAAGGTTTAATTAAAGATAATGAGTTCAGCCAGGTGTGGTGGTTCATGCTTTTAATGCCAGGACTTGGGAGGTAGAGAAAGGTAGATCTATGTGAGTTCAATGCCAGCCTGGTCTACAAAGTGAGTTCTAGGCCACCCAGGATTACACAGTGAGACCTTGTCTGAAACAAAACAAGAAGGAAGAGGAGGAGGAGAAGTTTGCCTCAGTCTGGTGTGGTGGCACATGCTTTTAATCCCAGAGGTGGAGGTAGAGGTGGTATCACACACTTTTAATCCCAGAGTTTGAGGCCAGCATGGCCTACAGAGCAAGTTTCAGGATAGCCGGGGCTGCATAGAGAAACCCTGTCTCAAAAAACAAACAAGAAGATCAACTAAACATAAAAAAAAATCAGGAGATCTAGAAATAAGTAGGAAAATATGTCTTTTAACAGGCAAGATAGATCACAGAACAAAGTTCTGACATGAATTAGCAAAGACCTGAGCATAGCTGTATACATGTTTAAAGATGAACCGAAAATATACTCAAAAAATCAAAGGAAAATATGGCCTCAATGAGCACAGAGGGAGAAATGGAAATTATATGAAATTATATGAAAAACTAAATGGGAATTCTCAAAAAAAGAAAGAGAGAGAGAGAAAGGAAGGAAGGAGGGAAGGAAGAAAGAAAGGAAGAAAGAAAGAGAAAGAAAGAAAGAAAGAAAGAAAGAAAGAAAGAAAGAAAGAAAGAAAGAAAGAAAGAAAGTATTACCAGGGCCTGGGGAGGTGGCCCAGTGAGCAAATGCCTGCTGTCAATCATGAGGATCTGAGTTTAGGTCCCCAGAATTCATGTAAAAGCTAGGTGTGATGTCATGCGTCTGTGACCCTAGGGCTGAAGGGGCCAAGACAGGTAGAACCAGAACCAACAAGCCCGGCCAGGTGGTGACTCCAGCTTCAGTGAAGACCCTGTCTCAAACAATAATTTGGAGGGCCAATGAGACGGCCCAGCTTACAAATAAAGACTCTTGCCGACAGGGCCAACAACCTGAGCTTGAGCTCTGAGACCCACATGGTGGACAGAGAGAAGTGCCTGGGCAGGGCACTCCCTCTTATTCAGAAATTAGTAACCTAGAATACAATGTCCAGTGTTGAGATGTAGGAGGGCCAGCCTGGCGTTGATCAGTCATCTCCATGGCCAGAGCAGAGACGTGGAGAAACCTTTGGCACATTAGCAGTTCAGCTGAGAACTCCAGAATACACATGACAGCTAAGACAAGGTGTGGCAGTCTGAATGAAACTGGCCTCCATAAACTCATAGGGAGTGGCACTGCTAGGAGTTGTGGCTTTGTTGGAGTAGGTATGGCCTTGTTGAAGGAAGTGTGCCACTGTTGGGGGCAGGCTTTGAGGTTTGCTGTGCTTAGGATACTGCCCAATGTCTCAGTTGACTTCCTATTGCCTGCAAGACATAGAACTCTCAGCTACGTCTCCAGCACCATGTTTGCCTGCATGCAGCCGTGCTTCCTGCATGATGATAACAGACTGAACCTCTGAAACTATAAGTGAGCCCCCCCATTAAATGTTTTTCTTTATAAGAGTTTCTGTGGTCATGGTGTTTCTTCACAGAAATAGAAACTCTAACTAAGACACAAGGTGTCCTCTGACCGCCCCAACTCATACACAAATAAATATAATAAAAATATTTTAAAAATGAGGTAGAGAGAGCATGAGAGGAAAGACCCCCAAAGTTGAGCACTGGCAAAAGCATACACAAACACGTACACCCACATGCACCTATGAGTGTGCGCGCACACACACACACACACATACACACACACACATACACACACACACACACACACACACACACACACACACACACACACACACCTCCACCAACCCTCCCACAAAATTTAAAAAATGCATTATTGCCAGGCAGTGTTGACACACACCTTGCACTCAGGAGGCAGAGGTAGGTGGATCTCTGTGAGTTCGAGGCCAGCCTGATCTACAAAGTGAGTTCCAGGACAGCCAAAGCTACACAGAGAAACCCTGTCTCGAAAACAAAAAATTCAAAACAAACAAAACAAAAAGCATTGTGACTGAAAAGTTCAGTGACAGCTCAACATTCAGTTGGAGATGGCAGGAGTCAGTGAATCTGAAGGCAGATGAACAGACCTAAGGTCTCAGCGGAGAGTGAAGGAAGACTACCACCAGATCCCCACAGCCAGTCTGCACACCTGTCACTTTTGGTACTCTGCCAGCATCACATCTCTCCTAACACATTCACACAGTTGCACACCTCTTGTCAACTTTTGCACAAACAGTCTCATGCTCTGTCCTACAGCAATCTGGACAGCTACTGCCTAGGTCTGCTATGCACATTAAAAACTCATGCACACACACCAATGATTAACAAAAAAACAGCAGAGAACCACAGGCTTCTCTTGCAATCAGGGGTAGAACCAGGGACGAGTGTAACAATGTACAGGAGAACCTAATCCGGTGTGGTTACACTTCCTGAGAGTTCCAGAGCCAAGGCCATCCTCAGAACTTCCCTCAGGGGCCTCTCAAGAGATCATGTTGGGCAAAGGGGGAGTGGGACATAGCCCCTGGTCTCTCATGGGTTGGAGGACTCTAAAGCCACCCTAGAAAACTCACTACTAATACAGCCCCATACCAACAGCACAGTCTTTCTATGCAAAGGCCATAGACAGCCATTAGAAGCTGGTCTCTGGGCCCCTCTGCTGGCCAAGCCCAGTGTTTCCTCCCGGTCACTCTACCTCAGCAGAATCACAATGTTCAGAGGCTCGGCTGGCTGAAAGTTACTGTCACCCCAGAGCACTTTCCTGTCTGTACACCCAGGCAACTCTCTACACCAGGCGGGTCCTGCCCTCAGCTAGTTACTGTGATAACATACAGCAGAGCATGGGAACAACAACCCAGGGCCCAGTTCATCTGTCCATCCTAACTGAGGCAGAATCTGGCCTCCCAGGGTCCACTGAGAACAGTGCCCTGCCCAGTATCTCTCTGTTCCTTCTCTTTGCACCCTTAGGGCCACCTTGGGCTGGCTCTGTTTGGAAGAGGCATCACTGGCAGATAAGGTGGATTCCTCCTGTCCTCCTGCTGGGTCTGGTATGGGGCATGACCATGGGGTGAGGTGTGGGAGACCCCTGGTTCAGAGTCTAGAGACCTGGCTTTGGGTTCCCAGATCCCTCTGTATTCTGACTTGCAGCAGGCATGGGGTTGGATCTGATCTCAGGTTGTCTCCAGGTCCTTCAGCCCCTAACACCAGGATTACATGTGACTCTGGACTTGCTACATAGCCTGGGGGACAAGGGGAAGGAAGAGCGGCAGAGGAAACCTCAGGACCCTGGCTTTCTCTCCCCTTCAGAGAGAAGGTAAAGGCACAGTCCCAGGGCCCCAGGCTACGCCTACTCAGAGGAACGGGGATGCTTAGGCAGTGACCTCTCAGACCTGGCTCTAAACCCAGAAGACCTCACTCCTACCTGGGCAGAGAGATCAGTTGCTTCCCAGGGAACTTCTGGAGCCACTAGACTGTACAGGTGACTAACTGGTGCTCCTCTCCCAAGGTGGGGCCACACTGGGGAACTCAGGGTGTCTCCTCACTCCAAGCTGCCCTTAAAATGCAGGAGCCAAAGCCAGTCATGGGGGACGAACCTTTAATTTCAGTACTCAAGAGTTAGAGGCAGTACTACAAATTAGAGGCCAGCCTAGTCTACATAGCAAGTTCTAGACCAGCCAAGGCTACACAGTAATACCTTGTCTCCAAACCCCAAACCCCAAACCCCAGCAACCAAACAATAAACATACAAAAACATCTGGCCTCCAGCTCCCGAAGCTATACATTAAAGATGAGAAGGCCAGAGGGCACCCTTTGTACACAGGGTACAGTGGTGGCTTTTCTCTCCCCTGATGTGAGCAGCTGAAGGAAAGCTCTGAAACAGGGAACCCCACAGTCGGGAGAGATGCCAGCTGCCACCAAAGGAGCAACAAGATGCCAGAATACTGGTAACGCCACGGCCATGTGGCAACATACAGATTAATAGGAATGGGATGCGTTAAGTTACAAGACCTGGCTAGCAAGAAGCTGAAGCCACAGGCCGTACAGTTTGTAATAATATAAGCCTCTGAGTGATCATTTTATGAGCGGCTGTGGGACAGAGTGTGGGAGAGATTCTTCCAGGCCACAGAGACTGAGAAACTTTCAACCACACTGGCTCATCTTCCAGGTGCAGCCTGAAGGCTGGTAGATGTGGCAGGTGGGGCTAGAGGAGGCAGATGGGTGGGCTTCAGGGCACCTTCCATATTTCTGGGTTCAGTTGGGGTGACAGCAGGGTGATGACCAAAACGTGGGCCCCGTGAACAGGCTCTGACCCCACCTTCCGGCTTAACTCATCTCCTCTCCTCTAGACCCCAGAGGTTGGCGTGGGATATGAGGCAGGTAGGTTGGGCAACACAGATGTCAGCACCCCAGAAAGCCTTGTCTCCCTCCACAGGAAAGACTTTAAGGCTGACACTAAGCCCCCCAACACCCAGCACGTTGCTCTCTCTGTGCCACGACAAGAACAGAATAAGAGAACACATAGGTGACGTTCTTATGTCATTTGCATGTGGGAATATTTTGGGTAATTTGGAGTCAGAACATACTATTAAAATTAATTTTGGAGCTAGAAAGATGATTTCCCAGTTAACTGTTTTCCGGAGGAACTGAGTTTGGTTCCCAGCACCTACTGAGTGACTCATGACTTCTTATAACTCCAACGAGGGGATCTGGGTTCTCTTGTGGTCTCTGCAAGGACCTGCACCCATGTGTGCATACACACATATACACACAATTAAAAAGAAATTAATTTCATTCATTTCTCTCTTTTTTTAGTGTATGTCTTAGTTAGGGTTTCTATTGCTGTGAAGAAACACCATGACCACAGCAACTCTTGTAAAGGAAAACATTTAATTGGGGTGGCTCCCTTACAGCTCAGAGATTCAGTCCATTATTATCATGGTGGGACATGGGTGTGCAGCCAGACATGGTGCTGGAGAAGGAGCTGAGAGTTCTATCTACATCTTGCAGGGAACAGGACGTGAACTGTCTCAGTGGATGTAGCTTGAGCATATATGAGCCCTGCCTCCACAGTGACACACTTCTTCCAACAAGGCCATACCTACTCCAACAAGGCCATACCTCTCATTAGTGCCACTCCTTTTGGGGACCATTTTCTTTCAAACCACCAGTATATACTATTAGAAAATCTGGAATCACACATGTGTTGTGCCCAGAGTCTGGACCCCCAAAGACCATCAAGAAACCAATTCCAGTTCCAGGGAATCTGACACCCTCATACAGATATACGTGTAGGGAAAACTTCAAAGTACATTAAATAAATCTTTAAAGAGAGAGAGAGAGAGAGAGAGAGAGAGAGAGAGAGAGAGAGAGAGAGAGAGAGAGAGAGACCAAATCCAATGCAAAAGCAAAGTGTCTTTGATTGTGAGTTAACTTGGGCCTCTCAGTCCGTCTGACACAGAAGCAGACCAGGAGAGACCCGGAGTAGCAAAAGGGCAGGGTTTTTATAGGGGGCAAAGTAAGGGGTGAGGGATCTTGGGGTCTACAGACTACATAGGAACAGACTCAGGATTGGTTCATGCAAATGGCAATCATGTTAGTAACTTTTAATTGGCTAGGGTTAGTTGGGGGTTTGTCAGAGCTACAGTTTTCCGTTTTGGGGGCAGGCCTGGGTAAGTCCCAGGCTTGTCCTTGAGCGGCTGTGGAGGCCGCATAGCCTAGGCTGCACTGACTGTGGGGGCTGGCTCAGCGGCCCAGGTATGGTGTGTCCTATCTCCCTTGTCCCTGTGGTCAGGGGCACCAGAGATGAATTGCCTTTTGTTCTTAGCTCTCCCAGAAACTGCTTGCTCAGTCCCAGGAAACTGAAATTAAGACCTGATCTCTGAGAGAAGACTGAGCAGCCTGTTATGGCGTCTGGTTGGTGCTCTCAACATGTAGTTCAATTATTCCTAGTAGATGTGCCAGTTTTGTCTGAGGAATATGGTGCCACGGCTGGCTGCCTCCTACTGAAGGTCCAGTGCCTTTTCCTCATAACAAAACCCTATGTGGCCACCAACCCTCTCAGTACCACAGAGGAAAGTGACAGATCGCTGTATCTCCGGATTCCAGCGGACAGTGTTGATATCCAGAGCCTACTAGGAACAGCACCCACCAACCCTCAGACTCCAGAGGCACCAGGGCAGCCAGGCCAAGGTAGCTATTGAGGAGACTGGCTGGCACAGCTGGGCCTCTGCAGCCAGGCTGGCTCAGGCCTCCTCTGTGAACAACACTACTTACTTACAAACTCTCACCCTGTTCCTGCATGCATCTCAGAAACTTCCTGCAGTTTATCAACATAATTTACAGTAGAGTTTCCCTTCTGAAAGTGCATGCTCAGTACACGATTCAACTAAAGAACATTTCCTCACCTGCCAGAGACCACCCCATACCCATCAGCAATGCATCTTCTCCCTCATCTTCTAGCTACGTCGGATATCTACGAATTTACTTATTCTGGATATTTTCCACGAACAGGATCATAGAGTATCTGTGTTTTTATGAGTGACTTATCTCCTCAAAGTCCACTCATGCTATGTCAGAATCTCATGCCTTTTGATAGTTAAATAATAGATAATTATATGGATGGACCATGCATTTATCATTCAGTTATCAGACATTTGGGTTGTTTCTTTTTTTTTTCTATTATAAACACTGTCACTATGAACACTTGTATATATGTTTTGTTTGCTTCCTTGTTTTTATTTTTATTTCTTTGAGACAGTGTCTTGCTGTGTAGCTGAGGCTGGCCTGTGATTCACTATCCTCCTGTATCAGTCTCCCCAGTGCTAAGACGATGCCCTGCTTGTCTCCCAGTTTTGTGTGGATACATTTCCATTTATCTGAGGAATCGCTAGATTTGTGTGTGTGTGTGTGTGTGTGTGTGTGTGTGTGTGTGTGTGTGTATACATTTCCATTTATCTGAGGAATCACAAGACTAGTTTTCACTGTGATGGCGGTATCCTTTTAGACTTCCATTTGCAGTACACAGGGCCCACTTCCCCACAGCCTCACCCACACTTGTTAATGTCTTTCTGTGAGATTCCCAAGCTCAAGGATCAAGAGCTGAGGTCTCCTCTTCAGTGAAGGCCCTTGTTCCTCCGGGCTGTAGCTGCATTGCACCAGGCCTGGCCCTCAGTGAGTACACTGGAAACGGGTGACATCAGTGCTGCCTGGGACAGAGTTGTCTCATGTACACAAAGGAGACACTAGAGGTGCCCTTCCACTGCTTACTCCATCTGCACTCTAGACCCTGCAAGGCCAGAGGAGGAGAGGCTAAATGACCCCAGACCCTGTTCACCTCCTAAAGGGAAACTGAGGCTTGGCCTCTGATATGGGCTTTCTTAAAAAATTATTTATTTGTATTTTATGTACATTGGTATTTTGCCTGCATATATGATGACTGTGTAAGGGTGTCAGATCTCCTGGAACAGGAGTTACAGACAGCTGTGATCTGCCATGTGGGTGCTGGGAATTGAACCTGGGTCCTCTGGAAGAGCAGCCAGTGCTCTTAACTATTGAGCCATCTCTCCAGCCCCAAGACATGGGATTTTGAAGCTGCTATAGCAGTTCCCTTGGACTCCTCAGCAAACATGGAGACAAGGGCCTGCATCCCACTGGGCTTCTATAATCCACACTCCTTCTTCAAGATTTATGAGTGAATTTGAAATCATTCCCAGAGGATGCCCTGACACACAAGGACTAAGGACCCACACAGAGTCAAAACTCATGTGTCTGTCTAACTGGAATGCCTCTGGACAGGACATCATGACTACAGTTACCCAACAGGGGCCCTGTCCACTTAAACATAAGCTACCTGGCCACTATATTGATCCATGTGAACTGTATGGAGAGCACATCATACATGCTCAGGAGGAAGTCACTGTAACTGACATTGGGGGTGCATCAGAGAACAGGAGGAAACCCTTGTAGAACTTGGAACAACCATGCCACATAAGAAAGTGGGCTGTCGGGGCTGGAGAGATGGCTCAGCAGTTAAGAGCACTGGCTGCTCTTCCAGAGGTCTTGAGTTCAATTCCCAGCACCCACATGGTGGCTCACAACCATCTGTAATGGGATCAGACGCCTTCTTCTCTCTGATGCTCTCTTCTGTCATACAGGCACTACATGCAGGTCGAGTACTCATACACACAAATAAATAAATCTTAAAGAAAAAGAAAGTGGGCTGTCTTAATTTTCCTACTGCTGTGCAGACACCATGACCAAGGCAACTTATAGAAGAAAGAATTTACTTGGGGCTTACAGTTCTAAGGATGAGTCCATGACCACCAGGACAGGAGTATGGTGGCAGGTAGGCAGACATGGCACTAGGAGCAGTATTCGGGAACTTGACCCACAAGCATGAGGCAGGGTGAGAGCTAACTGGGAATGGTGCAGGCTTTTTGAAACCTCAAAGCCCAATCCCCAGTTACACACCTCCTCCAATGAGGCCACACCTCCTGGTCCTTCCCAAACAGTTCCACCAACTGGGGACTAAGCATTCAAACATGCGTCTATGGGGGTCATTCTCATTCAAACCACCACATGAGCTATGGACCACTCTAGGAAGTGTGTGATCTTTGGAAAAGAAAATGGGCAGGTGGGTGAGAAGGCAGGGATGGAGGTTAAGATGGCCTTCAGGAAGGGACGGACACTAAGTAACAAAAGGGAACAGAGCCCACAAGGGAGAGTGCCAGCCTGCTCAGGGACAGTACAGGGTCTGGGGACTGGGGCACATGGCTGTACCAGAACCTAAAGAAGGCAGGTTAGGCCAGGAACTGAGGCACACACCTTTAATCCCAGCATTTCAGAGGAAGACATAGGTGGATCTCTGTGAGTTCAAGGCCAGCCTGATCCTCAGAGCAAGTTCTAGGACAGCCAGGGCTACACACAGAGAAGCCCTGTTTAGAAAAACCATAAAGGAGGAGGAGGAGGAGGCAGGTTAGCAACCACCCACTCCAGACAGTAAGTTTAGGGAAACTCAGCCCACAGAGGAAGGCCAAGGGACACAAATCCTGAGATTACAAACTCTGCTAAGCATCACTAGCTGGCTGACACCATCCACGTGACCTCATTCAGTTCTCATAAAGGCCTTCCCAGCACAGAATTGATCACTACTATTGTTACACATAAGGATGAAGCGGACGAAAAGTTAGGTAGCTGTTCCAGGGTCACACAGGAAGGAGAACCAGCTGTAAATCTGAGCAAAGGAGACCAACAACCAGGCAAGGAAGGCGAATGGGCCCTGAATCTAGTTACTTGGGTTGGGCGCTGTGGTGCTTAATCTTGTGAGTCAACCTGGCTAAGCCACGGTGCTCCAACACATGGTCAAGGAGAAAATTTCAGGAGAGATTTGTATCAGCAGCTTTGGGGAAGGCAGGTGACCCCCAATACCGTGGGTGGGCTTCATCCAAGCAGAATGATTGAAGGTAGACATCAACCTCCATGTGTCCTGCAGAGTCCATATTGGGCCGCCCCACCTGTTCAACTGGTAATTTTTCTGGGCAGCTGTGATCACACAGGGCAAAAGGCACGTGGAAGAAGATCCAGTCCCGACGGCCACACTCGCAAGGGGTAGGAGCAGCCAGGCCAGCGCCCACTACCGGAGAAAGGCCTTGCGGCCTGCACCACCATTGACCAATAGGCCTACGCCAGACTCCGAGGCCCCAGCCCGGCTTCCGAGGGCCCTGGCTAGTCACACTGCAGCCAGTCCCGCCTAGCCTGTCGCTCCCGGGGCCGTCAGGCCCGTGCGGTCACTTCCGAAGGACACGCACTGGGCGGGGCTCTGCCAATCCTGGGCTGCTCTATCCGTCAGGCCGCCCACCTGGCCTGAAGTCCTAGACCTGTGAGTAGGCAGCTCTGCCGGGCACGGTCCACGCTTGTCCCAGGAATCTTGGCCCAACCGCTGCAGCGCTTCCGGATGACTTTCCCCTAAACACCCTGCTGGCTGACTGGAGTAAAGTAGAGAGCCCAGGGCCCATTGAAGTTCTGAGCTTGCAGTGAAAAAGATGGGGTGGGCCCGGCTTGAGTAAGGGGCGCGGTCACATCGGGCAGGGGGGGCAAGAACTGGGAGGCGGAGTGGGTGAGAGGGCGTGTCCATCTGGAGATGGGCGTGGTCTTATTGGCGCTGAGCTGGGCCGGGGAGTGGATAGACAGGCCTGGAGGATGAAGGGGCGTGGCTATGCGGCTGGAGACTGGGTCCTCTGTGCAGGAAACTGAGGTTGGGTGGTTCAAGGCGGGGCCTCAGGAGGGGCCTGGGGCGGGGGCGGGACATCGGGCCGCCTGGTTAGTCTCCACCACGTTGTGTCTCAACTCCAATTGTCTTGCGCGCCCATTAGTCGGGTCTCACCAGGTGCTTCTCTCTGCTGTCCTCGCCCCAAGACCTTGCCCCCGGCCCACCGCCCCCCAGTTTCTGTGGGACACCCTCCTCCCGCCCTGCGCTCTCTGACTAGAGTCGCTAACTTCCTGCGTGGCAGAGCAGGTGTTCCCAGATCCATGAGCTCTCTAGGGGATCAGGTACGGGACTGGCATCAGGGCGTACTGGCCGTGGCACGAGAAGACTGGGACCGTGCGCTATGCCTCTTCTCAGACGTTCGGGAGCCGTCGGCCAAGATCTACTTCAACATGGGCTGCGTGCATCTGATGGCCGGGAATCTCGAGGCTGCATTGCAGGTGAGAGCCCCGGGACTGGTGACAGGGACCCCCGCCCCCATCCCTGGTGGAGGACAATAGGGGAATGCAAATGAAGACGTGACTATGGGCATGAATCCTTATGTTCCAATGAACACCCTAGAAAAGGACGCTCTTCTCCACCTCATAGCCACCTGGAAGGGGGAGGGGAGTCCTGCTCCTTTACCTTGTTGTTTCCCTGGAGACTGTTCCACTAATGCTCCCTCTTAGTGACTGCCTGAAGCAGGTAGGAGCTTCGTGGTTGGGAGATCCCTCTCTTAGTTGAGGCCACAATGGGGTACAGGGCACATAGTCACATGGGCCAAATGCATCAGTCCTGTACCAGGCCAGGCCATCTGGACAGAGGAGGGAGGGACATACCTGAAGGCGGGCTGGAGGCAGCGAGCTGGGGCTCTGCCTGTCCCCCGAAGGTACACGCGTGGCGAAATGGATTTCAGCAGATGTCTGTGGTGACGGTGGCACACGCAGTCTGCCTTCCCAGTTCGGAGTGCTCACATGTCTCCCCACCTGCTTCTCCAAGCAGAACTACTCAGGGATGCACACTGTAGAGGAGGCAGTCAGGGCGTTCCCTGCTTCATGTTCATCAAAGTGGCAGCTCCTCCTGGGTGTGTGATCTAAGCCCTCAGCACTCCGCCTCCAGCTCAGGCGTCCTGTCCTTCACATGGTGGTGATCACATGGAGGACTGGGCTGTGCACAGATGGCGTCTTCTAATTTCTTTCTTGAAATTATTATTATTCACTTACCCGTGTGTGTAAGTCAGGAGACAGCTTGTGGGAGTCAGTTCTCTCCTTCTGCCATGTGGGACCTGGTGACCAAACTCGGGTCATCAGGCATGGTGGCAGGTGTCTTTACCCACTGAGCCATCTTGCCAGCTCTTTTCTATTATTTCCTACATATGCATCTGCACCTACAATTACTTCAGAATTGTTTCTTCATTAAAAGGTTGTTATTCAGCCGGGCAGTGGTGGCACATGCCTTTAATCCCAGCACTTGGGAGGCAGAGCCAGGTGGATCTCTGTGAGTTCAAGGCTAGCCTGGTCTACAGAGTGAGTTCCAGGAAGGCGCAAAGCTACACAGAGAAACCCTGTCTCGAAAAACCAAAAAAAAAAAAAAAAAAAAAGGTTGTTATTCGAGCCAGGCATGGTGGTGCCCGCCTTTAATTCCAGCACTAGGAAAGCAGAGGCAAGCAGATCTGAGTTCGAGGCCAGGCTGGTTTACAAAGCAAGATCCAGGACAGCCAGGGTTACACAGAGAAACCCAGTATCAAAAAACAAAAACAACAGCAACAACAAAAAAACACAAAACAAACAAAAAATGAAACAAGAGGGTTATTGTTCAGGAGAGGAAATGTAGTGATCTGTTACCAGGAGGCTCAACATTGAGTCACATGTTAGGTCACTCCAGTGCTCACCTCCTCACACTGTAACTGGAGAGGGGTTTGAAGTTCTCTGCCGTGAGAAGAAGAATGGGCACTGCCTTAAGTCAATAAAACGAATATGTGCACAAGCCTAGGCGTTTCAGTTAGACCCGGAAACTCGAGGAAGCAGGTGGTACAGCTGCAATAAGGGAAACCAAGGGTGCAGGTCTGGTGTGGTCGCAGCTTCAACCTGTCAGTGGGAGACGTGTAACGTTGGATGTAGCACCAGGCAGCCCGCCCAGATCCAGTTCAACTGTCAGTCCACCTGGCTGGTTTCGGTATCAGGAAACTGCACCAGGTTTACTGATGGCTGCTTTCCCTGCTGGGGACACACATTTCTGCGTCTGGTTTAAGGAGCTGTGCTGCCCATGCACAGAAGACTTCGATGTTCTGATTCTAATAGATATCTAGTGTGCCATTTTGTGTGAACTACCAAAAAAGATTTTAAAAGATTTATGTATTTTATGTCTGTGAGTGTTCTGTCTGCATGTATGCCTCCACACCAGAAGAGGGCATTGGATCCCATTATAGATGGTTGTGAGACACCATGTGGTTGCTGGGAATTGAACTCAGGACCTCTGGAAGAGCAACCCTCTCCAGCCCCTGAAAAGAGATTTTAAAAAGCCAAAAGTCTTACACAATCCTGTCTCCCGGAGATAACTGGTACTGACGTTTTGGAGCATTTTATTTTAGCTCTGTGCTCACTATAGATAGAATGGGTTTCTATGCCATAGGGATATTGCCCCGAGCTTATCGAGAGGTGTTTGAGGCAGCTGAGAAGTCTATGCAGTAACACATCTGTCCAGGCTCTAGCTTGGCAGGCATCTGCTGCAAGGAGCCCTCATCAGTTGACAGATTTCCATGTGCATTTGTGGCACTGGGTTCTTGGGTTACTGAGTTTGCTGTACCACGAGCATTTTTGTCCCTAGGCATTTGACCAAGCGGTGACCAAGGACACCTGCATGGCTGTTGGCTTCTTCCAGCGGGGAGTGGCCAATTTCCAGCTGGAGAGGTGAGCACAGCAGGATCCTGTTCCTTATTGGATGGTTCTTTGTCTCTGCAAACCAATGCTTGCACCCACTTCCTTCTCTCTCCTCTGGATCCCCTCCAGCCTGGATGAGGATGTGCTCTGGCTAGGATGGGGTGCACACAGAGTCCTGTCTCTGTCAAGATTCACAGTTCTTTCTCAACATCCCTGCTTTCCTCCTCCTGTCTGTAGTAGTGAGAATAATGTTTGTAACCAATTTGCAGATGTGAAAACCAGGGCTTATCCTAGGATGTGGATGGCCTCCCAGCTTTCTAAGAGGAGGAAGGGAGGAAGGGTATTTATTCAGGGCTGTAGGCTCCAATCAGCCCAGGAGGGCTGGCTGAGAGAAGTGGAGAATCTAGTGGGGGACGGAGATTCCACCCAGAGTTAGAAGCTCAGAGATTAGAGGAGGCCCCATAAGGTTGGGCCCGAGAGGCAGAAAAGGAGAGCCCAGGATGGTAGGAAGAAGGTATGGAGTGTAAGCAGGGCCCCTGTCAGGCAAAGAGAGCAGATGCTCAGGAGGCTAAGCAGAATTGGACGGTAAACTCCCATTAAGCACACTGGTCTGGACTTGAGTACCCATGAAGTGCTCATACCTAGGTGATCACGCTTGCCTTCAGGCATCCCAGAGCTGACGCAGAGAGAAGGCTGGGTGGGGTACCCAAAGCCGCCCTTCTCAGCTTAGCTCCTCCAGTGCAGCTGTTGAGAGGCCCCTGGTGCTCACAGGTCCCAGGAGGCTGTGTCTGACTTCCAGCTGGCCCTGGCACAGCTGAGGGGCAATGCTGCCATTGACTACACCCAACTGGGTCTGCACTTCAAACTGCAAGCCTGGGAGGTGAGTGGGCATCTCCCGTGTGCAGAGTTTGGACACCAAGCAGTGTCACCGGGGATTGGAGGCACTCTCTGCGGCCCTGGGGTTCTGTTGGGGGAATCTAGGGTTCTTGGGAGTTCTAAGGTTCTGCCATGGCCTTGGGATGCAATAGGGGTCCTATCATGTAGTCTGCGGTCCTGGCCGGAGTGCTAGGGTAAAATCTGGAGTGTTGCCAGGGGCTGTCACCTTTGTGTCGGTGTCACGGTCATGGTCACTCCAAGTGGAACGAGATGTCCTGTCCAGCCAAAGACTTTTGGAGCCCTGACATCCCCCAGCTCCTTGATTGCCCAAGGAGGCTGGAGTGGCAGTGGAGGGAGAGGACTACTCACACACTTGGGAGCCAGCCAGCATGGGCTCATGTGGGAGAAAAGCAGGACAGGATTGAAGATCATGACAAGGTGACAGATCGGTTTGGGGGAAGGTGGGGGGGGGTTGGCTCAGCAGTCCCTGCAGCTGAGCCAGAGGAAACAGTAGGAACAGGGGCCATAGGGAGAGTGGGTGTGTTTCTCTCCTTGCAGCAAAGTTGGGCTTCTGTGTGCCTACCTCTCCAGGATGAAGGGAAGATGGGCTCCAGCATTGTGTGAGTTCATGTCACTGGAGCTGTAAGGATAGCCTTAACTCAGACCACCTTGCCCATGAGAATGCTCTGAATGCGCGGTTCTGAACATCCCTGCCAATGGGAACCCTTAGGCATACTCTAGACTCAGGGGTACAGGGAGCAGTTAATGGGGGGTGGCAGGGTATAGAATGAGGAAGGTGTTGGCCAAGGGAATACTTTGTGAGCCACCATGTTAGAGTTGGGAGTCTAATCCAAGTCCTCTGGAAGAGAAACAAGTACGCTTAACCACTGAGCTGTCTTTCCAACTCCCCCACCCCCTGGCACAGGGGACACTTGAAAAGGCAGAGCTACTTCTGCTGTTTGAAGCAGAAAAGTCCAAAGCAAAACATGGCCCTGTAAGGACTAAACAGATACAGGGAATGACCACTTGGCATCTGACAGCTGAGCCAGGCAGGCAGCAGGTGGCCTGGTCCCTACTTATAGCCCCCCTGTGACAGCTGAATATACAGAAGAACCGCCAGCTACTGTGACTGGGGAGTTGAGATGAGGACCATCTGGGGGGGGGGGGCTAGTCCCTGCTGTCATGTCTGCCCTTGTTCCTAGGTCCTATACAACATGGCATCAGCACAGTGCCAGGCAGGGCTCTGGACCAAGGCTGCCAATACTCTAGTGGAGGCAATCTCCAAATGGCCAGAGGGAGCCCAAGATGCCCTGGACACTGCCCTGGACCAAGTGCAGGTGAGGTGGGCAGGTGACAGTCACACTGGTTTGGAGCCAGGTTCTATAGCTTATCCCCTCAATCCTAACTATAGGACATGGAGAGAGGTAGCCTGGGTACCCCATACTTCCTGTAGCCTGTCACACATGATGAGAGCCCAAGCAGCCCCTCTGCTTCAAGGCTCAGGGCTCGTACAGTTGTGGCCACCCAGGTTTACATGCTGTATCCCAGAAACAGGTACCCCTGCAGCTGCTGCAAGTCCCCAAGGGTGAGGTCTTCCAGCCTCCCAGGCAATACCTACAGCATCTGGAGCCCATGGATTTCCTCGGCAAGGCTAAGGTAAAGCACTAGGGTGTTTTCCAGCTTGGGTACCCAGATGCCAAAATGGCAGTTGTAGCCTATGCCAAGCTCACGGTGTGGTGGCTCCTGCACTGGGCATCCAGTGTGTTTATGAGGACAGTTGGGTCTAGGCCACTTGAAAGTCAGACAGGTAGTAAGTGGGTCCAAGGTGCCTAGGGTTGGGGTGAGTGTTCATACATGAGACTGTAGACCCAGAGGCAGAACTTACCAGAAGTCAGCTTTAAAGGAGGAGGCTCCAGCCTTTTGATGGGAATCCCCAGTGGTGCCCCTCCTTCACCCCCACACTCTTGTCCCAGGCGCTTCCAATATCTGTGCATCTTCATGTATTTCTGTTTCTGCATCTCTGCCACAGACAGCAAAGTCCCAGAAGGGATGTGCATGGCCAGTTTGGGCCATATCAGGCCCCCTAAACCACAGGCTGTGGTGGAGTATCTCACCTCCAAATATAAGAGAGGAACTCAAGATAATAGTCATTTGCAGTGTCTCAAAGAAGGGCCAACTTGGTGTTGCATTGATGGCCCCTGGGCTGGCCATACACCTATGGTCATTTGCAACAGCAGTGTGCTGGACCTACCAACACCATGTGACCCTGTGTAGCTGCCTGAGATGCACACTGCCTGTAAATGTCCCCTGGGGTGGACTGATATAGATGGAGAAGAGATGTACTTGTACATCTATCAGAGTTCACTTAGACGATCGTTACAAGAAAATTAAGTTCGTATTATTAGTACATGTTTCTCTTGGTCATACTTTTTCCTTTTTAAGCTGTAGTGGTCCAGCAGTCTTGAACTAGGTATAAGCAGCCCACACCTTGCAGATTACAGCCACAGAGGTGCTGGGAATTGGGGACCTGGAGGAACAGACTCAATGGGGTCCTAATCCAGCTGTATTCCTGCCCCCACTAGGTGGTGGCTTCTGTCATCCCTGACAACAACTCAGATGGCTGGCCTCAGCAGGTAGGTGGGTGGGCACTGAGCAGACCCGGGCCTGTCTGTGCTTGGTTTTGCAGAACTGTGCACTGATAAGGAAAATGAGGCTTAGGCAGGCTGGCCCAAGGGCTTGAGCCGCATGCTGGGAGAGCGTTGAGAGTGAGGGTACCCCCTCCTCCTATGTACGGGCTGAAACCTAGAGCTTCAGAGTTGGCGTCCCCCACATTCTCACTCTTCCTGCTGGACAGCTCTCACCTGGCAGAGAAGGCTGGTCCCTTCCATTCATTCACCTGTCGTGACCCAAAGAGTAAGCATAAGCTTCTAGGAGGGCAGGCCGCCTCCTTGACAACCCGGCCAGGGGTATGGTAGGAGTCAGCCATAGTGACCTGACGTCAGGGGATGGGCTAGGAGGACCATCTCACTGGCACACACTCAATCCCACCACCGGGACCAGATGGGGGCTGTCAACAGAAGGCTGGAGCCTCTGTTGGACATACAGTGATCAAATCACATGACAGCCTAGGAAAAGACAGGTCAGAGGCCCAAACAATGCCAGCCTCCGTCCTGGCCATTGCAAAACTTCAGAGCCCCTTGTACCTGGGTGAGGAGTGGTTAGAAACCCTTGCTACCCTGCTGTAGCCCTAAGAGCCAGTGGTGAGAACTTTAGGAGAAGGTTTGACATGGACTTCTTATAGGACACAGGACAGTCACCTCCACTTTGTCTCCAGTATTTGGTTCATCCCAATCCAACGGTTCAATGTCCTTAAGAGCAACTATATCCTTTACAGCTTTGCTCAAAATCCCCAGGTGCTTAAACCTGCATCTACCAGCTCCTGTAATGGGCTGTAAACCTCACAAGGGCCAAACATTGCTTTTCCATAGTCTCCCTTCAAAACAGGTTCACAGCCAGGCAGTGGTGGCGCATGCCTTTAATCCCAGCACTCAGGAGGCAGAGGCAGGTGGATCTCTGTAGCTAGAGTTTTCCTGCCTGGCCCACAGTCAGGACAAATCTCTCTCACCTGCCAGTCCCACAGCCGCTCAGACCCGACCAAGTAAACACAGAGACTTATATTGCTTACAAACTGTATGACCATGGCAGGCTTCTTGCTAACTGTTCTTACAGCTTAAATTAATCCATTTCTATAAATCTATACCTTGCTATGTGGCTTGTGGCTTACTGGCATCTTCACATGCTGTTTGTCATCTTGGCAGCTGGCAGTGTCTCTCTGACTCAGCCTTCCACTTCCCAGCTTTATTCTCCTCCTTGTCCCGCCTATACTTCCTGCCTAGCCAATGGCCAATCAGTATTTTATTTATTGACCAATCAGCAACACATTTGCCATACAGAACATCCCACAGCAGATCTCTGAGTTTGAGGCCAGCCTGGTCTACAGAGTTCCAGGCTAGCCAGGGCTACACAGAGAAACCCTGTCTTGAAATGTGCTCCCCCCACAAAAAAAGCTCACACACACACGCACACATACACACACACACAAACAGTTCACAAGCCACACCCAGAGGTGCTCAACAGAGGTTTCCACCTCCTTGCCAACTCAGGGCACTTGAGGCGGGCACTTCCTTATCATCCGTTCCGGGCTTCTCGGAGTCATTGGAGGAGCCACCAAACTGGAGTTGGGGATGCAGAGAAGGCCTGGGAAGCAGGCTGACTCCCAATGGTGCTAGGCAAGCTGTTTGTGAACACAGGTTGAGGACTCAACCCTGTCCCTAAGTGTGCCTAGGGTCTGGGCCTACCATGCTTCACTCTCAAACTTCCTGCTAACTGCTGGCCAAGCTCCCAGACTACACCCTTAACCACTGGCGGTACCAGGACAGAGCCCAGGGAGTTTCTTCCTGGGAGCCAGACCCACCACCTCAAGACCCCTATACTCTAGGTCCTATTCTAGGGCCACACTCTCTTTTGGGGGGGTTGTACAATTGTTTATACAAATCCAACAAAGGTAAAACAGCATCAGGGAACGTCTAGGAAATTGGCATTTATGGATGCAGAACTTGGCAACTAGAAAACAGCCAAGTTACCAGCTTCGATGAGAACCGAACACTTCAGAGGAGGTGGGGGAGGAAAGGAAGACACATCGCTTCTCCTTGACTCATGGTGTAAATTAGATCTGTGGAGATAGAATACAAGAGCTCATGCTTGGAGCCAAACCCTCCTGAGTGTAAAGGCTGAAATCTGAATTGTAAAATTGTGAGGAAAAGGTGAGCTCTCTGTTGAAACTTGGCAAGAGTTTTGCCCGGACTATACTTTACTCCTAGCCACAACCTGCTCGTGTAGCTTCTTGATGTAGAAAGTAGGCTCTCAACATCCAGTTAAATGTGCTTTTAAGTGGAAGGCCATAACCCCCTGTCACACCTGGGCACATCTGTAGATGGGCTCTTTATGTTGACTAAGTCCAGGTTAAGTTCCCGCCTACCTGAAGGAAAGTTGGCAACCTAAATAATAAAAACACTGGTATGCATTCAAATCTTGCATAAATAAATTTTAAACAATTTATACAAAAATAGTTCTGCATAATATAACATGTAACAAAACCAACGAAACAAAATGTGCCGGACAGCCGCAGCTGGCGTGTGTGAGGACCCACACGGTTGGGGTCCTGCCACCTTTATCTTTTGTTGCAGAGGTCCCTCGTGGAGCAAACTGGCCATCAGTCTCCTCCGTCCGTGGATAAGAGGATCCTGAGCAATAGTGGTAGGAAGAGCTGCCTCAGGAGAGCTGGGACTTGTCCCTTAAAGGGAGTTTGGGACAGGGGACAGCTACCTGCCAGTCATTCATCTGCTTCAAAGTGTCTCTTTTGTGGAAAGGTGGTCACATGAGCCGTGGTCTATGCTACAGTTTGCTGGCATCTGGAGGGCCTGACCCAGGCCCCTCTAAAAACTCCTCAGGAGCTGGGGTAAGAACTCTCCTGCTCTCCCATCCCTCCTCATCAGCCACTTGAGGCAGGGAAGGCCTTAGCTCGGATTCTATCTTCCTACTTTCAGCCCAGCCTCTACTCTGACCCCCTTGAGTCCGAGGACCACCCTGCCTTCAAGGGCTATGTAACCCTGTTTCTGACCTCAGGGAGCAGCTGCAGAAGGCCCTGCATCCTTGGTGACTGTCACTGTGCAGTGCCACTTTACTGTGCCCCTGGAGGCTCCAAGAGGCGCTGACCTGTCCAGTCTCCGAGCACTGCTGGCTCAAGCCCTCCTTCACCAGGCCCAGATGGGGCAGCTCAGGTGAGTCAGAAAGCTGTGGGGGAGGGCTGCCGGAGAAAAGGGTGGGTCTGAGCTACAAGGAAGTGAGGGTTGTCCTGAACTGGAGAGAAGGGTTTTGTTATTGCTTTTTTGCTCGGAACTGGTCACTTCTCAGGTCCCGGAAGGGACCAAAGCTGAGGCCTCCTTAGCTCTATGCCTAAGATCCTAGGCAGCCACTGGAAGTAATAGCCGGGACTGGAGAGGGACCGAGGTTAACTTCCTTTAGGGGAAGTCCACACCAGGCACTCCCCTACATCCTGTAGCTCACACTCAGGACTCCCTTTGCAGTTACCAAGCCCCAGGAAAGGAGAAGTTCTGGATCCCCATCCCCACGGAGGAATCACTGCAGAGTGTGTGGAAGAATGTGGCCAGGGGCCCAAACGGGTTGCAGCTCCAGTGCCGGGTGAGCCGGGGGAAAGACTGTGAGGCCCGCTGTTGGCACCCAGGCGGGTGGAGGGGAAGCCCTTCTCTTGTGCCACCCCGGCAGCCCACCCTTCTGCCACAGGGAGCCTGGGGCCGACCGGTGCTCTACCAGGTAGTCGCTCAGCACGATTACTCAGCCCAAAGGCCTGAGGATTTGGACTTCCACCAAGGGGACACAGTGGATGTTCTGTGTGAAGGTAGAACAAGGCTGCCCTTCCCCAACATGGCTGGCTTTGCCCAGGCCCGGTGGGGGCTTTGTTCTCTAGGGCTCGGTCTTTGCTGTAAGCAGACGCACCATCCACCATGTCTCCACAGTGGACGAAGCTTGGCTGGAGGGTCACCGAGACGGCTGCATTGGCATTTTCCCAAAGTGCTTTGTGGTCCCAGCTGGTGCCTGTGTGAAAGTCCCACCTGTTCCGAAACCCAAGTCAGAAGACCAGCGCTAGCAATACATATTGTGACAAGACCAGTTTTAATTTAAACAAACAAACAAACAAACAAAAACTACCCCCCATATGGTCTGTCTTCTAGGATTGATGATAAAGGGGATCCAACCAAAAGTTCTTGGGAGAGGGGAGCTGGACTGGCCCCCAGACCTGGATTCTGACTGTCTGTCTCAGTCTGGTTATAGTGAGGAAGCAGGGGTCTCTGCTGGGCTGGTCACAGCCTTCGGAGGTAGCCCTAGTTCCACAGCTGCCCCTCAGCCCCTCCTCTTTCCACCCCTTGGAAGACTACAGACCCCATAGCCAGTGCCACCCTGAGGGCAGACGGGAGTCAGACCAGGAATTGGTCTGCTCAATGGACTGGAGCCCTTGAGGGTCAGGGGTTCATGAGGGCAGACATCCAGGATGTGCCCAGCAGGTCCTGTGTGCCAATGGCTTTCTTTCCTAAGGACAGTTGATAGTAGCTTACAATGTGGACAACACAAACAGTTATGTTGTTGCTGTTGAATCCCAACATGGTCCCTGCTTTAGATGCATTGTGGTCCGTGATCTATTTCAGCTTGGCTTTACCTAGTCCTGGGTCCAGAAGAGCTGGACAGCGGCTGCTGCTAGAATGGCCACGAGAGTCAGCACTGCGAATACTACTCCAGCCATCCAGATGCTGTAGCTCTGAGCCCGCCACTGGGTCAGTGCCTCAGCTGGAATCATGCCTGTAAGGTTCAGCATGTAGCCCAGGGTCCAGCCAATGTCCACGCCACCTGCCTGTGAGACACACGACTGTTGAGGGCTGCTGGGTGGCTGTCCTAGGTCCCATCCCATTCTCACCCTGCACCAGATGTGCTGAGGCTCTAGGAAGCAGTCACCTGCTTCTGGAACTGGATGCTGGGCCAGGTCTCCTCGCTGAATTTGTAGCCCTCCAGCAGCAATACAAGGATGTACATGCCTGAGGCACAGTAGTCCCGGAGCCAGCGCTCCTGCCCGGGGTAGCTGGCTTCCACCTTAGGTTCCAGAAGCCGATGAGTAAGTGAGGCCCCAAGACCTCTGAGCACTTCTCTTCCCAGCTATAATGTGATCTCCACACATCCAAACAGACTCCAGACAGCAGGAAAGTGTTAAATGATTTTAAAAGCCCTTCCCTAATTCCCCGGGGAGACCATCCTCCGGCTAGGAGGGCGTGAGGTGGCCAACCTCATGACAACCAGAAGCTGATCCCATCAGGGCTCTGGACCTCTTTCTGCCCAAAGCAAGCCACTCCCCCTACCACAGTGTTTTCCTTCCCAATCCTGGTACCCAAACAGCTTGACCACGAGTCTCTGTCCAGGAAAACCCAGTAAGATCCCAGAGGCCCTGCTTGCCTATGGTGCAGTATGGAGAGGGGGCCAGGGCCGTTATCCAGAGTCACCTACCAGTTTCCAGGGTTTCTGACAGAACTTCCAGACAGTATCATTGACAATGTGCAGCGGCTGCCTGGAGGTGAGGTTCAGAAAGTCGAAAGTGTAGTAAAAGTTGGAAAATGCCTGGGGGACGTAAAGAAGGCTGTGTCAGCCTGAAGGAGGCCCAGGACTCTTCAGTCAGGTATTTCCTCTGGTGTCGGAGTCCCAGCCAGGGCACCTCCTGTTCCACTTGTCCTTGGAGCCCCTGGGGTCAGAAGGTCACCTGGGGCCCCAGAAGGAAGCCAGGGCTTGGGGGGCGGTGCTTACATAGAACTGGCCATGCACAGGAGGCTGGTATACTCCATTGAAAGCACAGTCTTCTTGGTCCTTACAGCTGGAGAAGTTGAAGAGACTTCGGAGGGCTGCCACACATTCCCCAGGGTTGCCGATCCCTTCAACTGTGAGGTTCTGGGTGAGGTTCAGGGAATCTGTAGTGTGGACACAGGGCGACTCATGCAGAGGAGCCAGTGGCAGTGTGGCCTGGTAGCCGCTATGGTAGCATGGGTGTCTGACCAGGGCTACCGAGCTGTTCTGCAGGGAGAGGAAAGGGCATGAACTCTAAGCTCTGATACACTTCCCCACTCTACCCCATGCCATCCCACTTCGCCACCCTTCAAATACCAGCCTAACCTGTGCCAGCTCAGCCAGGAGCCTTATCAGGACCTGGTCCCGCCCGAAGCAGAGGTAGCTGTGAGTATAGATGCTGTAGTTGGCACCGTACAGACGGAAGGTAGCCTGGGTGCTCTGGTCCAGGATGGGGCCCTGAGGCACGAAGCTGATCTGGGTGGAGGCCCCACCCAGATCCAGAGCACCAACCAGTGTCCTCTCTTCAGGCAGGATCCACTGTCCAGAGGAATACTGACCACAGAGGAAGTGCTTAGCTCTGGGCAGCCACGCTGGCCCCAGCTGCTGGCTGGCCCCGTGGACTGGCCTCTCAGACCAACCCCTCACCCTTGGGCTACCCCTGCACCTTGAGAAGCATTCCCAGGACATAGTTGATGGTGATCCAACCAAAGGCACCTTCATCTTGCCCAGCCAGGATCTTGGCACCCCAAAAATCCACAGGAGAGTTGCTCAGTGTCTGGGAGACTGCAGCTAGGATGTCTCTCGCCTGAGAGCTGTTCTTCCGGCTGGGTAGAGAGGAAAGAAAGCCTCACCCCAACCTCCACTGTACCTCGTTCCAGGCTCCACTGCACTTCACCCCAGGGTATTCAAGCCTGGCTTTCGGGGGTGACCCTAACAGATGCAATCTGCTCCTGTCTCACCTGAGCAGCCTCATTCCTGCTGTGGCCCCCAAGAATGTGGGCGTCTCTTGGTGCTGGGTCTGTGGGATCAAAGCCAGTGCCTCTTCCAGGCAGCTCTTCAGGCTTTCCCCAGCCTGCGTTGGGTCAGAGGTGTAGGAAGCGATCCCAGGTCCTGAAACACAGTACCCTAGGAAAAGACTCCAGACCTGACGGTTGGGACTCAGTGGTGGTCCCCAAAGATGTGGTCGAATCCTAATGTTTGGAACCTGTGAATGTGACCTTTTTTTGGAAGAAGGAAGTTCCCAGGTTTCATTAAGGGTTTTTGAATGGGGCATGATGGTGATTGCCTATCATCATAGTCCTCAGGAGGTTGAGGCAGGGGATTAGAGGGATCAAGGTCAGTCTGGGCTACACTGCAAGACTCGCTCAAATAACAACAAAGGAAACCTAGAGATAAGGCTGGTTTGGTCGCATAGCGGACCACAAGTCCAGTGATTAGAATCCTTACAGGGAAAGGTAGGAAACCCAGAGTTTCTCCCACTTTGGGGCTTCTGGAGAGTGTGGCTCTGTCACCCCTGGGCCTCAGGCTTTTTATCTCTAGAATTGAGAGCAACCCTGGGAAATTAACTCAGGGCCTAGCACTCGGTAGCTTCTGCCATCAGAGTGGTGTGGTACCTAGATGAGACGCTCCAGCCCCTGGAGAGATGACGCAGTGGTTAAAAGCATTGGCTATTCTTACAGAGGTCCTGAGTTCAATTCCCAGCAACCACATGGTGGTTCCCAACCATCTGTAATGAGATCTGGTGCCCTCTTCTGGCCTGCAGGCAGAACGCTGTATACATAATGAATGAATCTTTGTTAAAAAAAAAAAGAGAGAGAGAGAGAGAGAGAGAGAGAGAGAGAGAGAGAGAAACTCCAGGATACCAGAGAAGGCAGATGTGGCATCAGACAGGGAGATGTTAGTCACAGAACCTGAGGGAAGATCTGTGTGTGTATTCTCATCAGAGCCAGCCCAACTGTGTGACCTTGGTCTCTCACACTGGGAGTCCAAGCCAGGTCACAATGACCTACCATGGGACTACCCACTGACCTTCTATCTGGCAAGTCAGGGCCTGGCTGACCACTCCTGTGTCCTTCTCCTTGTTTGCTGGCCACTGGTACACAAACAGGGATGTGTGGGAGGAGCCGGCGTCAAACACGATCCCAAACTAAGGACAACATTGTGATCAGAAAGGTGTGGAGGCCAATATCCTGGTCACCCAGCCCCATAGCCTCATCAGGTCTCTGAGCCAAACCTTGGTGTCTGCAGGCAGGAAGACATCGGTTGCCTTCACCAGGATGAGGATGAGCATGGTGAGGCCAGAGGCTGCTGCAATCCCCAAGAGGGCTATGAAGACCCGTTCCTTCCAGGAGCGTCCCATGGCAGGAGGAGCAGAGCTGCAAGGGTTAGGTGGGCAGCAGAGGACATTCAGATTCCACCTGCTGTCCCAACCCCAGCCTTCTAAAGGAAGGGTCTTAACACATCCCAACTTTCCTCAGATGTTGTCAAATGTGGGACTCAGACAGCCCCCCTTGGCCAGGCCAGTAGCCAGGACAGCCACAGTAAAAAAGGCAACATGCAGTGTCCAGAGTCCAGCCGGTCAGGCCCAATATTGTCACAGAGCCTGGGGGTCAGTGCATGAGGTACTGTCTGAGGACTCCGGTAGAGAAAGGACAGTCATTTTTGATGTCACTATCAAGGGTTAATGGAGCCCCACGTGAACCCCTTAGATAGGCCTTGCCCTCCCTCTTCTTCTGGGCCCCTGCTTTCTTGATTCTCCCATGAGGAGCCCCCGCTCGGGACTGAACTCAGGGCTTCATGCCAGGGTCTCTCAGTGCAGGACTTCTCTCTGGGAGCCTCAAGGCCAGGCCCACGCCATTTGGCGTCCAGGAGCCAGGTGTGGGCCCTTCACAAGGCCAGTTAGCATTCTATGCTCCTTAACAAAGACATCTGTTTCTTTTGGAAATCCTAAACTTGGGTTTCTCTGATGGGGATCTGAGAGATTTTAGCTGACCCCAGATGAACCTGGGCAGCTGACCAAGGCTGACCAAGGAATGCCATTATCCTTGGTCCCCAGGACAGCGACACTTTATCTACCCTGGAGCCCAGCAGGCGTTCTGAGCCCTTACCCACCCCAGCCCACCAATGTACAGAGAGGTCACTATGCAGCCTGCTTCACGGCAAGCCTCACAATGGATGGTGTTGCTCACTGGACTAGTCCACGGCCAGAGTGTTCCCTGAGCCTCCAGCAGTTTGAAATTCTGTGACTTTGTATCTCATGGCATACCCCCAAGAAAGAAGACACTCCCAGTGTCTCATGAGAGACTAACAGAGGTTAGGACCCTGAGAAGAGGCTAAGTGAGGCACAAGCCCATCCGAAGGGAGGAAGACTGAGGAAGGAAAGACAAATGACCTAACCAGCAGCACCCAAGGCACAGCGATAAACAGGTCACAGGTAGGAACCAAGAAGACACAGACCCGCACCTCAGGGAATGTAGCTCCGGAAGCTAGGTAGTCATAAAAGGAGGGCAAGGCAGGTTCCCCTCACCCAGGACAGACAGTACCTTACCAAAGCCAGCCCACAGACCAGGACAGCCCCTTGGGTCCCTTACCTGAGCTGGAAGCCAGCCTTCAAGGGTAGCTGGAGGAAGTCCTATTCCTGGGTGCAACCGACCTGCGCACCTGCTGTCCTCCACACCCTGTCTCCACCCACTTGAACCTGGGGCTGTGGTGGGAGGAGCAGGCCTGCTCTCTATCTGCCGCTCAGGGACTGCGTCTACCACCTTTATTCTGCATCATCAATCCCGGGCTTACATCTTGCTCCTGGGGAGGGAGGAAGGGCAGTGCCCCTAGTGCTCAGGGTGAACTTTGGAACTGTCCTGGGAATGAGAGAGAAGGCAGGGCTGTGGAACCCCCTCCCCCCGTACTGTGGACCTTGCCATCTGTCCTACTCACTCGGACCAGGTCAGAGCGGAGTCAGCTAACAGGTGACTGAGAATCCAGGGCTAGAAGGCTAGATGCTGCAAAGCTGCAAAGGTAGGGGGGCCGGATGAAGCCATTCTCCTTCAGACCTGTTGGGTTTTTTAAAACGTAAGGTACAGGGCCTGGATATAGCTCAGTTGGTAGAATTATTTACCTAGCATGCACAAAGCCTGGTGTTCAAGCCCCAGCCCCACATAAAGCCACAAGGTGGCAATCCTAGCACTCAGGCAGGCAGGCAGGCAGATAGATGCTGTCCTAGTTAGGACTTCTATTGCTGTGATAAAACACTGTGACCAAAAGCAACTCAGGGCAGAAAAGGCTTATTTTGCTTACACCTCCAGGTAATAGTTCATCACTGAGGGAGGTCAGGACAGGAAGTCAAGCCGAACAGGAATCTGGAGACAGGTGCTGATGCAGAGGCCATGGAGAAGTGCTGCTTACTGGCTTGCTCTTCCAAGCTTGCTCAGCCTGCTTTCTTATACAACCCAGGATCACCAGTCCAGGGCTAACACCGCCCACAGTGGGCTGGCCCTCTCACGTCAATCATTAATCAAGAAAATGCTCTGCAGTCTTTCCCACAGGCCAAGCTGGTAGGGACACTTTCTTTTCTTTTCCTTTCTTTCTTTCTTTCTTTCTTTCTTTCTTTCTTTCTTTCTTTCTTTCTTTCTTTCTTTCTTTCTTTCTTTCTTTCTTTTTCTCTCTCCTTCCTTCCTTCCTTCCTTCCTTCCTTCCTTTCTTTCTTTCTTCCTTCCTTTCTTTCTTTCTTTCTCTTTCTTTCTTTCTTTCTTTCTTTCTTTCTTTCTTTCTTTCTTTCTTTCTCTTCTTTCTCTCCTTCCTTCCTTCCTTCCTTCCTTCCTTCCTTCCTTCCTTTCTTTCTTTCTTTCTTTCTTTCTTTCTTTCTTTCTTTTTTTTTGAGACAGGGTTTCTCCATGTAACCTTGGCTGTCCTGAAACTCGCTCTGTAGACCAGACCAGCCTTGAACTCACAGAGATCCGCCTGCCTCTGCCTCCTGAGTGCTGGGATTAAAGGCATGTGACAGCACTGCCGGACAATAGGGGCATTTTCTAAGTTGAGGTTCCCACATCCAAAATGACTCTAGCTTGTGTCAAATTGACAAAAAAAGTAACCAGGACAATTAATCCCTTGTCATCTTGAGATACACATAACTGTCAAATCATACCTTCCTTTCTAGTTCATCCCAAGATCTCATATTAATAATATCACAGTATAAAACATTTCAACTTTTGCCGGGCAGTGGTGGTACATGCCTTTAATCCCAGCACTCGTGGGGCAGAGCCAGGCAGATCTCTGTGGGTCTGAGGCCGGCCTGGTCTATAGAGCGAGATTCAGGACAGGAACCAAAACTACACCGAGAAACCTTGTCTCGAAAAAACAAAAAAAAAAAAACCCAAAAAAGTTCAGTGCTTAGCCAGGCAGTGGTGATGCACATCTTTAATCCCAGCACTCAGGAGGCAGAGGCAGGCCAGTCTCTGTACGGTCAAGGCCAGTCTGGTCTACAGAGTGAGATACAGGACAGCCAGTACTACATGGAGAAACCCTGTCTCTAAAAGCCAATAAAACAAAAACCAAAGTTCCGCACTTGACATCCGGGACCTCTGGTCCTCCGGGCTCTGCAAGACCCAGCATCAAGCTCACATTTCAGGCCTACCATCTGCAGCATACACAACTTGTCCAGTAGGCTCAGATCAGCTCCACTGCGTGGCTACTGCTGTCCTCGGCACTCATCCGTGGTCCTGGCATCTCCAAAAACACTGAGGTCTCCGCAACTGGGCTGCACCTTCGTCAGGAACCTTTTCTAGGCTCTCGTCTAGGACTCCGACTGCCGTGGAGTGCCAAGCCTCGACTTCTCTCCATCCCTTCAGTCCTGCGGCTTTGACTGCCACTGAGGACACATCTTCACCAATGGCCTCCTCTGGCATGTCTTCAGAACTTCAGCCCTGCCACTCAGTGCCAAGCCTCAGCTGCTCTCCATGACCCCTTCATGCCTTCAAAGCCAGTACCTCCTGGGTGAATCTTACCGTACCAAATTTGGCTGCCATCGGGAAGTTCAGCCTTGGCTGCCTCCGGAGTGCAGCCTGTGTGTCCTGACCCTGAGGAAAAACTTCCCAGAAAAGTCCGCCTCATGGAGGCCAGTCTCCCTCCTCTTTGGTTTTCTTTGTTTTTGCTTGTTTGTTTGTTGACTTGTTTGTTAGTTTGTTTGGTTTTTTTTTTTTTTTTGGTTTTTCGAGACAGGGTTTCTCTGTGTAGCTTTGCGCCTTTCCTGGAACTCGCTTTGGAGACCAGGCTGGCCTTGAACTCACAGAGATCCGCCTGGCTCTGCCTCTGTTTGTTTGGTTTTTTGAGGGTTTCTCTGTGTATCCCTGGCTGGCCTGGAACTTCGAAGACCAGACTGGCCTTAAACTCACAGAGATCCGCCTGCCTCTGCCTTCTGATTGTTGGAATTAAAAATGTGCACCATCACTGCCCAGCACTTTAGTGGTTCTTAATTCAAAATATCACATGAATGGGCTTCCTAAAGTGCAGAGAGGAATGGGATGCTGAGATGAAGCCACCCACAAGCCGAGAAGAATGGACAGCCGAATTCCAAAAACACCAACAATTTCTAGAGTTTAAAATCCTGAATCATGACAGGACACTGGTGGAATTCAGGTTTATCTGGTACATGGAATACTCTCACCGAATGTGAGATTGAACTGTAGACCTTGTGTAAATTCTACTTCACAATTGAATCAGATACGCTAAGCCTGACTTCAGATAGGCTGAAGACGATGCCCCAATGTTGTGGAGAAACCTCAAGTGACTGTCCAGGCAGCTGGCTGTTTCTGTCAACTCACATTTTTTTTTTTGAAGCCACTTGTTTGTACTTCCTGTTTTACTAGGTAATATTATTTCCTTCTTGGGTCTCTAAGGGAGTTGAAGATTAGATAGTTATAGTTAGTTGAAGATTAAATAGTTATAGTTAGTTGAAGTTAGATACTTATAGTTAGTTGAAGATTACATAGTTATAGTTTTCCTTGTTAAGAAAATGTGGTGATATTTTATTTGTGCTGAAATGTGATATTTTATTTGTATGTTAATAAAGTTTGCCTAGAGATCAGAGGTCACAGTCAGCCATAAACAGAAGTCAGGTGGTGGTAGCACACGCCCTTAATCCCTATCACATGGCAGGCAGAGTCTCTGTGTGTTCAAGGACACAGCCAAACATGGTGACACACGCCTTTAATCCCAGTACCAACAATAGAGACCCGGAGGTCTGTATAGACAGGCAGTGACGAGGAAGTCATGTGGCTGGGCTTAGAGTCAATGAGAAGGCAGAAGAGGAAGGCAATAAAGGCATAGTTTAGACAGGAAGAGGCTCTCTTGAGTAGCTATGGCAAGGTGGTAAGCTAAGGTTAGTTGGTGGCTTTACTCTGATCTCTATGGCTTGCACCTCTGTATTTGGCTCTGCGTTTCTTATTTAATAAGACTGTTTAGAAATTCATCTACACTAAAGTCTCTAAGGGACTCTCAAACTTCCTATTAAATTTTACATGGCTTCCGTTGTCTAAATGTCTCCCAACACTCTTATCTTCCAAGCTAATAGAAAAATCCACTGATTCAACAATCTATGAAACCTGAGCACTCATTGGCTTTTCCCCCCAGAAGTTCAAATGTTACCACAAGCCTCCCCAAAACACACGGTCAAGTCTGTCAATACCTCACTCCTAGAACTGCTTCCTCCCTTAGTGTAATGATGTGGCCCGCCCGGAGGCCTTGGCAGGTTCTGGAACAAGGTGCCCCAAGGCTCCTGAGACATACCATGTGGGCACCGTGGACAGTGGAAAGTTACTCACACTGCAGACACAACGTCCACGTGGCAAGTTTATTTTTAAGGGGAGGGGGCAGGGAAGGAAGGGAAAGTGGGCAGGGGCTAAAAGAAGGAGAAGAAGAGAAAGAGGAAAGGAAAGAAAGACACAGAGGAGGTGTACCCTACCTCTGGCGAGAGGGGGAAGAGAGAGCAAAAGGAGAGGAGTTTTTTTCTTGAAGGGACGGTAGGACGTCAGGAGGATGCCGGATGGGTCCCCAAGGGGCGGGTCAGAATACTAACATTCCTCTGTTTTGATTATTATGAAAAGGTGAGTTATGGACAGCAAGCAGGATAGGTGGGTGGGGAATCAGGGCCCAAATTCTCAAGACTGCTCCCTGCTGATCTGGGGACCAAGTGGGGAGGAGGAAGTTGGGAGGTGTGAGTGAAGAAGCAGTCACGCCAAGTCAGGGATACAGGAACCATCGCCTCTGCTGTTTCTCTGGAGGTGGAAATGCCTCTATCCATCCTGTAAAAAGTGTCATCGAATTAGGAGATAACAGATTTTATGAGTGGGCATGTGGGTGAAGTTAACCTGTCAAGATTCACCTGGTTGGCATCCTCAGTTGGTGGTTGGCATCCTTGGAGCTGATGCAGGGGTTGGTGGTGTATCTGAAGAGCCCCTGGCAGGAGGGGTGGACCTATGCAGAAGCCTGTAAGTGTATAAAACAACTAAACAGATTCACATCTTGGTGCCATAACAAAAGCTATGGCTTTGGGTTAAAAGGTACCCATTTCCTGGCTTCAGCTCAGTGAAACATAACCAGAGGAAATTTAATGAATGGAAGTGGTTGAGTGAGTGAAGGAGGAGGGAGGCTTCCCTAAACACCATCAGATCTGAGAAGGATGTGTAAAAAGTTACACTGAAATCTGTTTTGTGAGTTTATCTGATCTGGTAACAAGGTAAATTGTGTCTAGACCTAGTAGTAGCCCTGGGAGAGGGAGACCTGTGAATTTTACATAGAGAATGAGAAGGCAGCTGAAGCAGAGCCTGGTCATCAAATGGAATCAGAGATCTGAGAAGGATGAATCATATCTGAGTGCAGACCAAGAAGCTTTTGGATCTATTAAAAATGACAGGGACCAGTCCATACCCAGGTCTCCATATCATTGGAGGCAGAAGCATCAGAACAGCATCAATCTTCAGCCACCAGGTCCATAAGGTGGGGGTTTTCCCCATGGAAGAGGGACATAGGGAAGATTGATCTTAGGCAAAATGGGTGCAATCAATTCTCCGATGTCCTGCTGTTTGTCCACAGTCTGGCTGGGTCCTGGAGGCAGGTGTCATATTGGGGCATTTTGCCCAGAGTTCAGTTTTGCCATCATCCAGGTGGAGACATTATGGTGCCCTGTAATCTTCTTCGGAGACCTTGGGTCACTGTTAGGATCTGGGAGTCTCTGTCTGATACAATAAGCTTTATGATCAACATTTTAAATGCCATATTCTGCAGATCTCTAAGCATTTGAGGACTGCCTGCCTATTAGGTATGTATGGCTGACTATCAGCTAGTATTCCTTAAGTCCCCACTATCTTAGCAGCTTCCATAAGGCTAGGATTTACTGTCTCCTGAGAAGGGAAGATAAAGAAGGGTGACAGGGGAAAGATCTGAGGGCTGAATGGGAACAGGAGACAAGGGTCTTGTGAGTCAGGGCGTGACCCAGCTCTGAGAAAAGGACCCTCTTGAGGGACCAGAAACCCCATCATAGGATATATATCTTGTTTATCAAATACCTTATTTATATTCTCAGATCTTTAAAGGTGTTTGAGGACTGGGGGAACAAAAGCTGTTGGCTATTGGCTTAACTTTAAGAGCATATATAAGTTA